TGTCGAATTCGAGTCCCTTACTGTGTATCATCCTCTTGATGAGCTCCCCGAAGCCTCGCTCGGAGCGGCCCGTCAGCAGCACGCACAGAGCGTCCTTTTGCTTGACGCTCAGCTTCACCAGCTCGACAATCTTTTCATTCCACCAGCCTTCCCACGCTCGCTTCTCTTCCGTGTCGGCGCCCTCACCCGTCGCTGAGAGGATTCGGGAGTCGTGCCACCAGCCGCCGTTGCAGATGACGTCTTGACTTGACAGCACGCCGATCGTAGGGCCGCTCCATAATGCGGGGTTCGGCAAGGGAGTTTTGAAGACTATGGATGTCAGACGACGTTAGCTTTGGGTTCAGAAGATTGGCGAAGGAATCACGCAACGCGGCAGCATAGAGAAGGTATACTTACGTGTGTTGTCAAAGTCGTAGATGTGCAGAGCCTTGATCTTATCGACGGCAGGCAGCTGTGCCGTCGCGATGCTCCATCTGCTCAATGCAGTAGTCGTCGCAGAGGATGTCGAGTAGGCCGCCTTAGCAGAGCCATTGGCGTATGCGGACGTCATGACTCGGCGGGTGAATCTGGAAGCTGCCAACATGAATGTTGACCAGACTTCGAAATTCCGAGAGAGGTGGGAATTGTTCAAAGAGCGGGTCGTCGATAGATTCGCGAGCGCGCAGAACCAGGGCAGTGGCTAGGGGACTCGAGCTTTGCTACAGTGGTAGGTGCGACCGCGGCTTGTGCCAGTAGGAAGTTTTCCCAGCCGTTGGCTTTGTGGGGCTGGCCCGTCATTATGGGAGGCAAGTCCCTGGAGAGCGCTGCTAACCGGCTGGGCTTTCTGTGGCAGCTCCCGTCATTAAGCAGCCACTGCTTATGTCATCAGGGGATGGACCGATTAGATAAGCAAACTCCACGACTCTGGATGAGAACCGCGGTGTTGACGGCTTCCAATCAGCATCATGTGAACAATTAAGAAAGATTAAATTAGATTTAGAGCAGGCCGTCATATGGTAGATGATAGGGATATCTCCTTTCGACGAATACTCACCAAGGTCAGGGAGCGAATGCCAGTGTCACTAAAGGTGCACCTGGACGTCTTGCTCTACGTACTCCGTACCGTGGCACGCGTGGCTACCAATACCGTCCTCCCGCCCCACATCCGGTTCCGAAGTGTGGCGAAGTGGAGATATCAAAGCTGGTGAACGGTTCGGTACTTCCCTCGGTCAAGGCAGTTTCGCCTCCTTTCCCAGTCTGACGGCAAGTTTCTGGAAAAAAGTTATGATGGAAAGGGACCTGAGATTGTGTGATTGAACCAGAAGGGTAAGCGCTATGGTGAAAGCTGTTGCTGCTAAGTAGTGCACTTGTCATTTCATGCAACAACTCTGCTTTTCTCTCGAAAGATGCCGTTCGAGCTGAATGGGTACGGTGCTTAATTTCTATCAAGAGAAGAACTTCATGACTGGGGGTCGAGTGTGGCCGTTAGTTCGTGGTGTAATGTTAACCTAAGTACCACGGTAGAAGTCGTGCAGCAATACTGCCTCCAGCTTGCAATGGCTTGCCCACTCAACATGTAAAACAAATGGGTTCACGAAGGAGACACTAATTGACAGATAACAGTTTCTCTCATTTTCTTATTTTTTTGCAGTCTCGGCTGAACCAAACCCTGGTCAGATTCGTGCCTCTTACCAGCACTTGCTTCCGCTGAACCACCGTAAGGCGAGGCCTGCCAACGACTATTTCGTCAACTTCAGAGTTTTCGTATCCATCCTCCTCTTTTCTCGGCGTGTCTTCCCTCGCCGTCCACGCCTCCCTGGATATCATCTTCCTTCCCAAATTCTTCCATCTTTGGTGCTCTCTCGCAAATCCTGTGTTCCCGTTCCCAAGCGAACATACAGAGGCCAAATTCCTGGCGTGTAAGTTCCAAACATTGACGGCTCCCAACATAAGAAAAACATGTTTTGAGGACATACAGGCCCCTTTCGTCCATAAAATAGCGGACATTGTGAACAGGAAAAAGGAAGACGACAAAAAAGCAAAATCGGGGAGATTTCCCGTACCATAACGCCAAAGAAGTAACCAAGTGCCTTTCCCATGGGTATTCCATGCCTCCTTTTGTGGCCCGACCGATGCAATGCGTACTCTAAAAAGTCATGCTCATGAACCAGCCAGGGTCCCTTCATCATATCATACCACTCCTGCTTGTCATCCCTTTTGGACGCTTCTTCCTCATTACTTCCATCAATACTTCGTGTCAAATTACACGGTGTGGTATGCCGACTACAATGTCGGATCAATGGCGCCAGTGTCGGACTGCTCACCAAAGTCTAGGAAGGCGTCCCAGTTGTCATTAACGGGGCCTGGGGTCGCATCATCGCTTCTGGGCTCTTCAAACCGAGACGCATAAGGGTTCACGTGTCCGTTGAAGTACTCGTGCGAAGAAAGCGTAAGCTCATTCAGGTGCTGCTCATGTTTCAGGTCGGCCATCGAATGAGTGTCTGGGTAGTACATCTGCTGCTGTAGCGGGTTGCCCATAAACATTTGAGCCATCGGGTCGCTCATGTCCAAGTTGGGTACCATCATCTTCGCATCCATGGGCAGCTCAGCGGTAAAGGATGACTCAGGAGAAAAGAGGCTGTGATCGATTGTCGTCATGGGTGAAGGGAAAGCCGAAGCTGTTCGCGTCGAGGGGGTGCCAGCAGCAGCGTCTGATGACGGCGACAAAGCTGGCGGCGACTGAGGATGATCACGCGCTACCGGTGTGGCCATGTCCATGGGCGACGCCACTGACTGTGTTCTCTGGCGTTGGTATCGCTGGGTCTCGGGCTGAAAGTTTACCGACGAGAAGGTTGGTGACATGGGGCTGGTGACCGCGTTTTCGGACTGAGTGGGCTGCGACAACGACATTGAACGTTGCCCGGGAACGGAGTACATTGAGTTCGTAATGTTACGAGACAATGCCTGTGCTTGCTTGTTGGCGTTTGGGAACTGCTCGGCAAACATCTTATTGATTGGGTTTTGAGCCCATTCCTCGTTGCGGAGCCCGGCCACCATGCTCGCCATGGCTACTCTGTTAGCCAAAAAGGCATTGACACGGTAGTCGAACTCTGGGGAACCGGTCTGAAGGTGAGCAGCCAGCATGCGATAGGAGCGAGGCATGTCGTCCTCCTCCTCTTCGTACATTTCCTCCGCCTGCACAATCGCTTCAGAGATCTTGAATCCCTTGCCGGTGCGCTTCTTGTGGATCTCGCTCGCCATCTTGGCGGACTGCACACGGGCTTCGATACTACGGTCCGCCCGCCGCGAGGCGGCAATGTAAGCGCGCTCTTGGTTCTCTTCATGAGATCTCTCCGTCTACGTGTGAATGGTCAGCATTTGGATCCGGGGGAATGGAAACTTTCTTCTGGCAAGTCAAATAAACCACCATGGCAAACAATTTTGTACAAGTGTGGCAAGTACAGCCAAACTGGGGGGAAAGACGTTCGAGGATAATTTGATGGTCAAGGAATGGGTACTAATGCGGGCAGGATGATTTGACTCGAATATCACGGCTTGAACGTACCTTCTTCTGTGCCCGTTCAGTCTGCATCGTAGGCGACAGGTTACTGGCGTCCAAGGAGCGCTTCGGCATTTTCGTTGACGTCGAGGATTCGGAGATCGACGAGTATTATAGATAATTGAGTGGTAATGGGGTCAAAGGTGGCTTGGCCAGAGAGGTAGCTGATGCGGGGTGCAGGAATATATTGGAAGCTTCTATTCACTTGCGGTGATGGGCTTCGTTGTGGCTAGAACCTTGAAGCCGGAACCACCTGGTATCTCGATGAGGTTGGTCGAAACCTAGTGTTTAACTCGGGGATATAGAGACGTATGAGTCGTACGGGTTTATCGTGGTGTCCTAAGACGGTTGCGTTTTCTGAAGGAGCTCGTCGGTCGAGGGACCAAAAGGGTGTGTGGAAGTTGGGGAGGCAAAGTGTGGAACAGGGCGGTATCTAAGTCTTATACAATCCAAGGGTACGTGCTCGGGAGAAACGACTGGGTATTAGTCTCGAGGTGCGGAGCAGCGTGGAGAGGAAGAAAAAGGCAGTGAACTGGCTGGGCGTGCGGTGGAACAGAGGACAACCCGGAGCAATGTTCCATGCGAAAGCATGGGAGAGGGTTCAGTCTACCTTGGGCGGGCGAAGAGAGAGAGAGAGAGTGAGAGTGAGAGCGTGAGGAGGTACTGCTGGGGGTACATCTGATGCTGGGTTACGGAGTACTGGTTCGGGGATTGACCAGACAGATGGCGGCCGGATAGATGTGACCGGGGACATGGTACATGGGGAAGGGGTTAGGTTCGTTGTTCTGTTTGGTCGACCTGATGCAGTTGCAGTGCGCGAGAGAGCGAGATGGGAGCTTGACTAGGTACGCTAAGGATACATTGGGCGCTGGGAAATGCGGTGTTGCTGGCTGTGCCGCAACTGGGGCAGTCCAGCATAATTGGCAGAAAGAGAGACGGCGAGGGACGGCAGAGTGAGAGGGGAAAGGGAAAGTGGCATTTCGACTGCTTTCGATCGCTAGACGATCTTGGAGGGTTTGATCGGGTTACGCTCTGTTGATCGATCTCGATGAGAAGGGACTGTGTGCTAGGCCGACGCCCGTGGAGCAAAGTACCCCAGTAGTCACTCTTCACTCCATCGAATGGAAGGAAAGGGCTGCCCACTCTCTCTGCTTCTCCTTCTATTTCCCCCCTCTCTTCTGATCTCTGGACTGGCTGTCTCCTGCCGCCCGCCCTCGTACTCTACTTCTTTTAGATTAGCGCCGGGTCGTTTGGGAAGATGGCAACCACGGTTTGGTCGTCGTGGTTGTGTTGGCAGGGGCTGGGTTCACGGCTAAGGCAGTCGCCAGTGATAGGTAGGTATTGTAACTTTTTGGGAAGGCATACCTAGCTTTTCCCTCATGTTAATCATTCTTGCTCCTTTCGACTCTCTATCTGTCTTTTCACCACAGTCTTTCATTCGTAATACCTACACCTCACAGATTCATGTCTTCCCGTATGTTCTGTTGTTAGATACTTTTGCCAAGCTCAAGATCGCAGCGGGACGTGTACGGACAGACAGAGAGGCAGGAGCACCAAATGTCTCGAGGGCCGCAGGGCAGGTGCAGATGCAGCAGCAGCTGCTGCATGGGGTGGAGCTTTGGCCTGAGTGGGGCGATCCCAAGCTCGGGCTCTCGCCTGTGCCACATCCCCACCCGAATGCACCCAAGTGCAACCGACAGGGCGGGATCAATCCCCGGGCCATATGCTCCAGGCCTTATCCCAGTCACGTCCTGTGAGAGACTCAGAGACAGAGAGCTTCTTCCCAGTGGTCCAATTTTCCACTGTCATTTTGGGCAGTTCCGCATCGATTCCTCTTGCTGCATCGAAATAATGTCAATACACTCGCAGCTACGCAATAATTATCGAAACAAGTGGTAACTGGGACGACGCGCTAATACGACTACTTACTCTCAGCACACAACTAATTCATAGTAACATAGTACATATTCGGGTGTCCCATATGTTCGTAAGCTGTTCGGAGTGGGTTTCGCGCAAAGAAGGTGCTTTATGTACAGAGGGAGGCGGGAGCGTCCCTCCACGAAACTCCGTCCTTTCCCTAAAAACCTATGTTTCCATGCACCCTGCTCCTTCCTGTCTTCCCCTTGCCTACATTCGCCATTACGGCAAGAGACATTGTGTACGTATTTACACAGTATACTTTCTTTTCCTTCCTGCCTTTTGCGAGGATTGTTTACAAGCGGGTGGTAAACGAGCAACCGCGTTGGCGGACAGGAAGAGAAGGCCGGAGGGTGGGTGCAAATTTTTACACGGGAATTTGATAGGAGAGAACTACCTGCACTTCGTACCTTGGACACGAGAAGAGAATCGACAGACGGGAGGCCGGGGGGATTCAAGGTGGCCTGCTGCAACCATCACTGACTAACAACGACAACCTTGACAACCACACAACCACACAACCACATCGACCGGCTTCATCTCGTCCCTCGATTTGTGCAATCTCTACCTGCAGATGTGCTGTTCCCCTCCGTGAGATACCTGCGTTCGCTGTGGTGGGTGGCGGGCCCAGAGTTATCGCTCGGGCGGAACCTTTGGGGTGCCAGTCGTACCAGCATCCCCAACTCGTCAAACTCTCTTGTCATGCTAAAGTCTAAAGACGCTTAGCAATGCTGCAGCCCGCTGCTGGCCATGTCCGACTGCATAGTGTCTTATTCGAGACATTGGATGTTGCCCATCGGCTGCATTTCTGTCCGGTATCTCTTAGGTCCATCCCAAGAGTTGGATCCCAACTATCTCTTGGGTGTCTTGACACGCCTCAGCCAATCCCATGTGAGTGATTCATTTACTTCGAATGGCTCGCTCGCTACGGATGCCCGAGTCCTATACGGCTACACTCTGACATATCACAGTTGTAGACCTGACATCGTTCTAATATGCGTGGGCGATTGCACCATGCCATACGGTGTAGCGCCTCTATGGCAAACTCCATTCCGCAAACATGCGTGAGCTTAAGACAAGAGAGGCAGGGACCGGTCAATGTTCCACGAGCCCTGCGGTGCTTTGCTCTGCATCCATGCATGTATCCTACGGAGCACATTGCTTCGAGACACGGCACACCCACAACTTTGAACATTTCGCTACCCCGCTGACAGGCCGCGTACTTCAACCCTTGACCTGAACAAATCTGTACGGAGCGGTTGGCGACGGAATTTTTGCCAGGAGTACACTCCGAGGCCTCACCGCCAATAAGCCCAATGCAGTTGAGACAAAACAGCTTCGCTACAAGGTGATAGCTTGCTGGACCTGTATCAGTACGACCATAGCGATCTCGAAACTACTCCCTCCTCGAGTCGTCCCAGTCGATTTTCCTCCCAATCTAATGAAGAGGTCGCTACCACTGGCCTTCTCAGCAAGATGCAGCTGGCATGTCATGGAACCTAAATGCATCACCAATCAATCGAATAGTCTCGTCAAGTCTCTGTGGCTATGGCAATAGACGTACTGCGTATGGGTGGCTCTGACGAAGCCGATGCCATCGACTGCACCAGAGTCTCAAACCGATTACATCCGATCTCACTACGGATAGGTTAACTTACTGATGCTTGGTTCGCGGTTCCCAATCCTGTCATCTGTGGCATGAGATACCTTGCTGTTGTGCTAGGGCTGTACCTTAGCGTTTGGTTGCTCCAGCGGTATAGCACCACGCGCTATTGATCCGAATACCTCGACACTCGGTGCTAGAATCTCTCCGCGTCCGCAATTCGGAAAGAAGGGTGGGTCCGGTAGCATGGGGCGACTGGCGACAGCGACGATCGATCCCCAGGGTCCGATGCCGACTATTAGGGGCCCCTAGCAAGATGGCGATGAGAATTGACACGCTGCCACGCTTCGATACACTGATCGGAATATTCTAGCACCATTATTACCTACGAACTTCCAGAGGGCGGGTGCCCTCTTCAGAAACAACAGATTCGCGAGCGAGTAAGGAGCCAAGCCGTGCCGACAGTGCCAATTCATTCTTTGTTCATCAGTCGACAGTCCAGGAGGTCATCCTGCCTTGCAAGCGAATCCCGATGCAGGACGAAACCACTTGCGATAAGGTCTTCTGCAAGAATTGCAGACTGTGCGATGGTTGAAACAGTATACCTTCTGACACATTCAACCAAGCCGGTGGGGGGATTATCGTCCTAATCTCCCAGATTAATATCGGTTCACCTCGCGCTTCGCAGGTTTCGCAAGACCGACCCTTTACGGAAGATGTGCCACCAGGGTCACGCCAACAGACGGGATGGCTGCCCCCAGCCTACGCTCTGGGAACGTGGCATTTGCAGGTGCCTTGTTCGCAGGCGGTAATTGTGGCACAAAGCTGCGTTAAATCCGACCAGCCATGGCCCGCTCAGTCTAACTCGAGGAAGCCGTGATGCGCACGCAGATTCTTCGAGAGGGCCTAGACTCTCGTCGGCGGCGGCCAAAAGTTTGCCAATTACCTCCAGGCACAACATCAGCTTACCTTTCGACAAGTTCTCCGACTCTTGCTTCAGAAGCTCAAGAGTGACAACACTCATTTACGAGCCAAGGGTTAGAAGAAACCTACTTTCGCACATTCTCAACCTTGGATCATGTCGCCTTCTGCTCGAATGGTCTCAGTGGGCATCACATGCTGGATACAGCTTTGGGCACTCAAGTATTTACAGCATACGCCTAGCAGAGTTGCACAACAAGCAAGGGCCAACTGAAAAGACCAACTGGACACTGGCCATGATCAGAGCGATAACACTCCAGTTGACAAGAGCCGCGAGCGGAATGTTCTTACCCCGCCGCCGCCGTGGCCAACGCGAGGGATGGTGGTGGTTGCTTCTCCAAGAATTCGTCGTCACGGTTGTATGGCTGTGCACTGCCCCTCGCGTACCGAATTGTTGGTTGCAACCTCAGCGGATGGCTTTCAGCTGGTTCGCTAGGTCAGACAAGCCTAACGACGATGTTGATCAGGTCGAGTAGGTATCAGTCTCGAGGATGTACACGCTACCACGGCTACCAAGTACTAATCGTCCAATCTTGCGGGTGTCACCTAAGCCCAGGAGAATCCATTTTTGCCTAGTCCTCTGGAATTTCTCCCCGCCAGACTGAAGTCGACTTGGTGAGTTGCTCCTAGAGATCTAAAAAAATTTGACGTCACCTCAAGATGGATCAGCTGCTTCAAACATTCAGTGGATGATACTGGGCTGAGAATAGTAGTTACGTTCCGTTTTTGGTGAATTCTGCTCGCCCGCGGGTTAGCTCTGGCTTAAGCGCTACGTTAGACGACAAAGTTGGACTTGCCATTATTAAAACGACTGGCGTTGCTCGACGTTGAGACGGAGCAATCTGTCCGCGCGCCACTAGCTCACCCATCTTCTTTGGTGTGTGAAACCGATACTTGGAGTTACAACAGAACCATGGCAGACCCCTCGAGCGGGACGAACCTCTCTGAGACCAATCAGCAGGCCACGGTCCACGGCCCAGTCCCGGCAACTCTATGCTCCTCATTCTACATTCACGCCATAGAGTGGTGGTCTACAACCCATGGGGGCGGATATCTCGAGCACATTTCGACACCGGTTTTCTGGACCCCCAGGGCAAGCCTACCTATCTGCCGTACGGATGCTTACGCCTATCCGTGCTTTGATCAAGTTCGATAATCACATAATCAAAGGGACTGCGAAGAACCACGGCATACAGACACAGGGGCACCAACGCCGGGCAGTCTACTCTGATCGACCTTCTACCACAGCGGGGCAGCGGGTAGTATGTCGACCCGCCTGCCTACTTCCCGTATGGGAATCAACCATGAGAAATGACATATCTTTGTCGTCAGCCATCGAGGTTCAGCCGACACTGTCCACTCATCTCTCATGGTTCTGCTGGCTGCACGTTGCTTACTAGCTGTGGAACCATGCTAACCAACGAACTTCCCATGTCGACAGTGCCGTTGCTGCATCTCGGAACCCCAGAAAGTCCATTCGGCCGGTGAAGCAGATGCTATGTACATACAACCTGCCGAGCCTGCGAACAAGCCTTTGAACCACACCCTTCCCCGTTTCCCCAATTGCCTGTTTCCTGTGGTTTGTGGCGAAACAACGACAGACACTCGACTCCGTCCCATCTGGCTACCACAGACGCACACGCCCAGTGAGCTGTCGCCCCTTTTCAAACTTGCGATACGCAAGAGGGCGATCGAGGTTTTCGGGCACATCCATACCCCGCAAATTGCCATGGTTTGGAGCATGGGATTTTGCTTCCCCCGTTTACTATGTTGCGACCCTCGGCTCCTCGTCATTGCAAGGAGCACCACCGCTCACTTTGCTCGCCGCACGTCACAGGAGCATAAAATTTACGGTATTTCCATGAGGAGTATTCTCGGCCATCTCGGCCATCTCGGCGAAGTGTGCGCAAAATATATGGCTCGATGCAGCGGTGCAGGTGTTCCATCCAAATTTGCAGAAGAGCTTCTTAATGGAGCCAAAAGTCGACGTTGAAGATGGAAAATCATGTCGACGTTCGTTTCTAGATAAGCGAGAGATCGCGCGCTGACATCTCATGTTCGGAGCCGTGACGGCCAATCGACCTTTTCGCCTCCTACCCCGGATCCTGATCTCATCAATTTGATTCCAAATGCCCCTTGCTCCTTCTTGTGAGTCCGCATAAATCAGAAACGGCCACCAGCGACGTTGGAGACGCCCCGCCTATAGTCTCTGCTGGGCAAGGCTAGGAGGCCAAAGCCAGGCGATCAGGCGATCGTTGATAGACGTCGGCAGATGGCACTGGTCAAAGACGCACGCCGAGGGGTGACTGGAATATTCTTAAACAGCGGGGAGGAGCGCCACGTTCCTGAACCCTGACGTAAAGTCTTACAGGTCGCCTGAAGGCTAAATGCGCAAGGAGCGGGCACCAAGGACGCCCGCGGAGACGGTTCACTGGGAAAGTGGGAATGCAGTTGCTGGTGCCCTATTACAGCTACGTTGGATTGGCATTGCAATCTCCATGGAAGAATGCGATGTGCAGCGCCGACGAGAGAACCCTGGAAACTGGCATACCGGATACAACTCAAGATTTTGATCAATTCGTTCAGAGATGGCACTCTTTCAGCCAGAGAGCATTTAAGCTGCGTTAGCGGCAATAATCTATTTCTGCATCAGCATAACACCGGTCACAGCCAGTGTTCCGACGATGCACGACATCCATCGCATCTCGATCCCACACCACGTGGTTTTGCAACTCGACAAAGACACTATCGCGAAGACAACAGCTCAAACGTACCTACTCGCTCTGGTGCTCTAGAGAGCGTCCGGGCCCGCGGACATAAGCTGCAATGGAAGATTGATCGTGATGTCTGGACGCGCTACCACACCAGAGCTTCCTCACTTGGCTGGCTTCGGGAGGCTTGTGGTACTATTCAACGCACCTAGTGAGAGGGGGACCTTAACCGACAGGCTGGCTCAGCCGCTAGTGCTCGAAGAGAATAAGGAAGCCTACACAACTGCTCAGAAATCTCGATGGTGGCTCAGACAGTCGATGGCCGCCTGCCCAAAATCCGTTCCAGCTTGTCTCTTTGGCACGCCGGTTTTTCCAAAAGCACGTCGGGCTGGGATAAGTCAAAAGGGCCATCCACCGGGATAGGAAACCAGCGTTCCAGACGCTCGCTCAATTACCCACCAGCCACTACCTGAGCCCCTGTCGTTAGGGAGACACTGTGTACTCAAACTAGAGACATCGTGCCATTTCAACAATCCGGCCAGAGTAGTCCGTATTGCTCGTCCACCATCTGTCAATACTTGGTGCCATGTGAGATGCCCGGCTTGGGGGAACACTGGGAGGAGGTTCTGCTTATGCTGTGCTACGTGCGCAAGCAGCCCGAGGAGCCGGGTGGGAGAATTTACTAGCAGTCCTGCAGACTCATCGGGCCGCCGGGACGAATTGGTGTGGTGGCTGGACTTTCGTTCGGCCCTGGTTCTGATATCCCACCTTGCGGCCGGATAGCCTGTGGAAGCCAAAATGCTTCCAGGACTCTGCTGATACCGGCCAAGCCTTAGTGGAACGCATGGTGTCTCTTTCGCCCGCTTTCAAACATCCCAGCGGTGTTACGGTAAGGTTGACTCTTCGGAGGCTTCAATCAACATTGATAGCATCCGCAAGGACTGCGGATTTCAAATTCTCGGCCCCATTTCTCATTCAAACTGTTCTAAGCCAGTCCTAGTTCTTCATCGTTTGTCCTGTCGCTTTACCGATTCCGCAGATTTCCTGACCATGATGAGGTGAGCGCACGGCCTAAGTGAGCCCTGAGCCGTTCCGCCCCGATTTCCAGAGAAATCCACGAGAATCGGGCGGCAGTGCCCAAATGGTCTCTCTGGATCCCTGTTTCCGATTCACACGACATGTTCGCAGATCGGACGGCGGGCCCCGGATTTCGCGATCCCCTCAAGTTCTGCAGGGCAGTCCGCATCGTGGCATGGTCAAAAACAGGGCTCCCCGGCCCCTCGAACTGGTTCCTTTGTTGGAGCGATCGAAGCAGCCAACGTGCCATCGGAACATTCACAGCCCCGATTCCAACGTTCTGGGACGTGGGCCAGCTACTTTCTTCTGGATCGGGAGCAACGATTCTTTAATCTAGCCAGCCGAACACCCCCCCGTCAGCCCTGCACCTACCAGACGAACGATTGACCGTCTATCAGAGTTCACGATCTCATGAGAAATTATCACCAACGGTCTGCATCGTGTTTTCTCGGCGGTGCCATTTCGATCCGCTGCCGCTAACTATCACCGCTTGGGGTTTCCACCAACGATGGGTCAACCTGCAGCGGGAGTTCCTGTCTCCATCGCAAAGGCTCGGGAGGGTAAGGGTATTGGGTCATGCCGCGATTCAGGACCCCGATTGTGTTGAAGTCCTCGATGCGACAGTACTCTGGATCGCGCCTACTGCGCTGCGACACTTTTCCTTACCAACACTAACACTCCAAGTGGAGATGATATCTGCCCAAATCATGTGCTTTCAACGCCCTCGACAGGATTTTATCTTAGGCTCGACTACTGACGCCATACACTTCATAGTTGAAGTCGAATTCTGGTGCAAGCGCAAACAAGAAGCAGAACGTCCTTGTGTAAGCGCTCGGATGTAGCAGCGGTCACTGGGTGATCGGCCCCATGCTGGCCGCGATGCCCTCGTTGTTGCGCGATGCTTCACTTTGCTTGGGAAGACTTTGATCGCCATTGGAACGCAGCAAGGACTGTTTTCGAATCCAAGCGCGACGAGGAGATGACGAAACTGAGCCATGACGGGCAATGTGCGCGATAAACTCCGTTCAATTGACAGCCAGCACTGACATGTCGTCAGTGCCATGCGTGCCTCGGCCAAGACTGGTAGGAGACATTGCGGTTCTCGGGTGTTTTGGTACGTTCCGCCGAAATGGAGGCTCTCGTCAACGTTTGAGCTGCGCATAGATTCCCAAGGAAAGCTTTCCGGACCATTCTACATTTACTGGAAATGGGACACTGTTCGGTCCGCCAATGAACCAATCCTCTCTGAAAGCTCAGAAATGGTTCGCTCGATTGAAAACAGCATGTTGATCTGTCGGGAAAGAGGCTGGTCGCATGAACATTCTTCTCGCAACTGGCGCCTGGCAATATCATTCAAACCTTTATTCCGATATGGCACCGTTGATGGCTTATAAATTCAAGTCAAGTGGACTGGCCTGTCGGCTCGCGTTTTCTATATTGCTATTGTCTCGAGACTAGGATATGTGGAGGGATTGTGACTGCTGAGTAGGGATTGGATTCCTTATCATGACTGAGTCGAGCCAATCTAAATTTTTCCAAAAAAAACAAAAAACAAAAAAAAAAAGCGAGTTAAAAGCGAAGAGGCGGTCGCCCGTCGCGTCGGCTGTGATTATCAAGCTTCAATTGATAAAGTTGGGCGGGATGCTGCCAGAGTCGAATAGATGATAGCGAACATATGAACTTTTGATGGGCTTCGGACAATTTTGAGGCATGGAGACCACGCTGAGGCGGCTTCTGCTGGCGTCTAGGGGACGGTCCATTCGACCGAAATGCAAAGCTCCGTGGAATTCTCACGATGTCGCGATCTAATGTTTTTTCATATGAGAGGAGATATGGCTGCATCAAGACAACAGGACGGAAAGTGAAGGACGCTCGAGAACCCCTCCTTTCGGGAATACGGGCAGGCACCCGTCGAGTTTCACGACGCCGGATATCCCGTCTGGCGGTTAAAAAGGGCACACATCTCGGGACAGCACCTTCTCAATCATCTTTCCAGTCACGATCCAGAAGCATACTATTCCAGAAATTCTCACGTTCGACGTGGGTGCCTTTGCATTTTCTTCCACATCTTGCCATAGACAGCGCAACAACGCAAAAGACAAAACTCCCGCAGCCATGACCCTGCGATTCGACCCAGAGTACCAAGCCGCCATCGCCGCCAGAGACAGCGGCGGCGGAGGTCCCGCCCCGCCGGCGGCACCGTTCAAGGACGCCCTCGAACTCCGCGCCTTCTCTGAGCCCTTGCTCCGCACCGTCCTCCGCGCGCAGCCGGCGCCGGACAACGTCCTCGAGACGCGTATCCCGTTCACCTCGCACGACGGACAGGAGGTCGGGCTCTACCGCTTCGCGACGCGGGAGATGATTGACAGCTCCGAGCCCCTGGCCGCCGTGGTATATGTCCACGGCGGCGGGATGGTCTCGTGCGATGTCGACATCTTCAGCCCGCAGATTAAGCGGTTCGTCGAGATGGTGGGGATGCCGTTCTTCGCGGTGGATTACAGGCTCGCGCCAGAGTTCCCTGACGGGCTGGGCGCCGAAGACGTGTATTACGGCTTAAAGTACCTCTCGGAGAACGCTGCGCGCTGGAACGTGGATAGCGGCAACATCGTCATCATGGGCGACTCAGCGGGCGGCGGGCTCGCGGCGGGCGCGACGTTGATGGCGCGTGATAGGGGTCTGACGCCGCCGCTGCGGAAGCAGGTGCTCGTGTACCCGATGCTCGACGACCGGACCACGGTGCCGGAGAATGCGGCGATGTACCCCTTTCTGGCGTGGAAGGCGCACGACAGCGTGCTCGCGTGGCGGGCGGTGTTGGGGGATAAGGCTGGGGACCCGAGGCCTCACGCGGAGGCGGGTGTCTCGTTGTATGCTGCGCCGGGTAGGGCTTCGGTGGAGGAGTTGAGGGGACTGCCGAGGACGTATGTTGATGTGGGCGGGTTGGATTTGTTCCGGGACGAGTGTGTCGACTTCGTGAGGAGGCTTTGTGAGGCTGAGGTGGAGGTTGAGTTTCACTTGTGGCCTGGGTTGCCGCATGGGTTTGAGAGTGCGCCGGGGATTGGGTGGGTGAAGAGGGCTTTGGAGGCGAGGAATGAGGCTTTGAGGAGGGGTTGATCGTGGTTTGCTCTAGAGAGTTGGGAGGGAGGGAGGACCGGGTAATGTAGGAAGGAGGTGGACGGCTTGGGCTAGTTGAGACTTACACCTACCTGATGCGTGTTATAGGTAAGATCAGGTCTCGAAAGCCTTGATCGTAAGCTAGATGCTTTCACGTGGTTTTCTTTTCTAGATGTAGATGTAAATCCATCATCTAGACCCAGGCCCGCGTTTCTACAACTTGTGAATCTGCCCAGTGGTACCCATGATCAGTATAACAGAAGACCACGCCCTCCATAGTTGCCTCGTGTATCGTACCGTATCGTACCAGGAAGACTAAAAGGTGCTAGACATACTCAAATGCTCCTTCATGTTTTTTTCCATTGTTGGTTTTCTTCCTCTGGTAGCCTCCATGGTCTTCGGAGATGATATGCATTGACTCCATCTACATCTCTGTCGGTTCATTACAGCAGCGATCTCGATCAACACCTTGAAGCGAATGGGAAAGGAGCTGGGAGCTAGTAGCTCTTGCTTCATTGAAGTCCAGGTAGTAGGATGAAGGACAAGAAGTGTCTTGGAATGAGTGCAATGCGCTCACATACATGATATAGTATTTCCTTCCTTCCGTAGACTAATCACAATAATTCTATGCAAAAGCATATCCGTAGCCCTTAGAAAAGAAGTGAGAAAGAGACAAAAGAGTTCACCTCGGAAGGCTACATCTCTTGGTGCTTATGCTGGGAATCGAACTCGAACTCGAGCCTGTCGTCGAGTAGGCTATTGGGCGTGATATAATTGACTGCTGACCATAGACCACTCCACCACCCAGCCAGTTTGACCTGACCCGCCGACCTAGACGGGCGCCTGCTGTGCTGGTGACATGGATGGAGTTGAAGGGGTAGATATGGGCTTCTTCCTATGTGTATTGTGGGATTTGGGATGAGTATACGTTTCACGTGGCTGTTGTTCCTCGAAGGTGATGATTGGCTTCAAGTTGATATATATGCCCTGGTAGCGGCACAACCCAATCTTGGAGGACTGTGACTTTCACTACTTATAAGGATATTCTCATCAATCAGGCCTTGACCCGGCAAAGCTTGCAGTCGCTTAACGTGTAGACCTTCGGCAAACGGCCTGGAGAACGAGCTCTCGAAGTTTTGGTTTAGGAAGCGAATACTATTTCCTATTGAAGCATGCTCATGAACCTGAAGAGCCCGCGAGCTCTTCGCCTCTTGCTACTTGGCTACAACTCGGCCATACAGCACGAACTCGCAGTAAGGTGTCTTCAGTGAGCCACGCTGTCATCCGTGCCTAAATCTGTAAGCCAGCCCTTTACAATCCAGAGCTGGGGTATGTATTTGTAATGGGAGGTGCAACTCGTGTAGAAGCAGTATCTACTATTATGACAACTGTTTGTACGTATCTGAAATATATTCTTCAGAAATGATATCGGCACTGTGAAAGAACGACATAGGGTGACTGCACATCGTCTCTTGTCGAACACTCAAGGTAGACTTGACGAGCAAGTATTTTGAGACTCTCCAAAGACACTTCCGCGTTTGATGTTATGATTTGAGGGGTTTTCGCTAGAAGAGAGCGATGGATGGGTTCATTGGTGGTTTAACATGTTCCAAATGTCACCATGGATCTTGGAAGCTCTCACGCTTCGGAAGGTTACCAACTGAACGTGTTCAGAGCACTTCGTGTAATGTACATGCCCTTGTCCATAGTTCGGAAGTTCAGATTCCTTTCAACTTCGTATTGAATCTATTCCGCCTCTTTACATAGGACGAATACCTTCGTGCACCAGCGCCGGGTTGATCGGCCTATTTGTACCAGGAGTCGGATGCGTGTGTAAGCGGACGGGACTTCTCAACCCTGCGACTCAACTTTCGCTACTCCGTAATAAGCCAAACAATTAGCCAATTGCCCCCAACACTATGTCTATGCTTTATGCTTACATGGCCTTTGATTAATGCCAAGAGAGGAGTCCCAACAAAGTAGCCATCAACTCGCCTTTAAATTATGGCGGTCTCAAGTCAGTTGACGTGATTTATTGAGAGTCTCGCACCAAACATCAGCCGAACAACTGCTGGTTCGTCCCAACTCGGAGCCAATTTCAGTCAAGGATCGGCAATTCCCCGCAGTTCCCTTAAGCGGACCATTGGCATTTGTCCAACGCGGCCTTCCAAGAGGGAAGGTGCCTGGTCTGCCGGGGACCGATGCAACGGGCCAAGCCGCTAGGGTGCACGTGTGGTAGCCACTCGGAGACTCGGGCACAAGGGCCTAAGAGGAATAAACTCATGAACCCCGGCCTCGCTAGCAAAGAAGCATACTTTTGTGCTCAACTCCAAACGCTAGACGGAGGTTCTTTAATGTTCTTAACCGATGGAATCCTCCGAAAGGGGGCAGACAGATCCGGTGTTTGCAGGAGAGCGGCGAGGAAACCCTTGCGATTCGGTCCAGTCCAGCCGGGGCCATGCATAGTCTCAAGTAAAGTTGAACTGACAAGCCCAAGACTTTCCAATGTCGTATCGGCACAACTACGCAGTAGATTGACTAACCCTTTAGTTCGTCTTGCAGGTATCCCGACTGGCGGAACAATAGCTTTTGCTTCTCTTGGGCGTCTTGGCAAGTATAAAAGATACGAACTTGGGAGTCTCGGCCGAGCGGAGTGGAACCTCGACTTCCACTGCCTCTGAAGCTCATTACCGGGCAAGGAGATGGTATTGTTGAGAGACATGAGGCTTTGGATCCAGGTTCTCATAAGTAGAGCGTTGTTTGTCCCGGTTCACTATGGACATGGTCTTTGATACCTCAGCCTCTCTGTCTTTGCTCTGCCGTCTTGTTTTTACTTCTTAGGATACCTCTTAGTACACCGTACCATCAACATCATGAAGTTCACTTCTATTCTCGCCTCCTTGGCGCTGAGCGCCCTCACCTCCGCCGCGCCCGCCGCCTCTCCCGAGCCTGCCGAGCTCGCGGCCCGCGCCCCTACCCTCTACCTCTGCGGTGATAGCACCATGGCCAGGAGCAGCGACTCCCAGATGGACGGCTGGGGTCAGTACGTCTCCAAGTACCTCAACATCGCCGTCGTCAACCGCGCCATCGGCGGCCGCTCATCTCGCTCCTTCTGGAACGAAGGCCGCTTCCAAAACGTCGCCAACGAGGTTAAGGCCGGCGACATCGTCGTCATCGAGTTCGGCCACAACGACGTCGGATCCCCGCGCTCGAACGACAACGGCCGCTCCGTCTGCCCCGGCGAGGGCACCGAGACGTGCGTCTCGGACACGACGGGCGAGACCGTCTACACATACATCTTTTACGTCATCCAGGCCGCCAAGCTCATGACCGCCAAGGGCGCCACCGTCATCCTCAGCTCGCAGACCCCTAAGAACCAGTGGGCCACGGGCACCTGGGTTGGCACCCCGTCCCGCTTCGTCGCCATGCAGAAGAAGGCCGCCGCGACCATCAACGACGCGGCCGTCACCTTTGTCGACCACCACCAGGCCGTCAGCAACATGTACCTCAAGCTTGGATCGTCGGCCGTCAAGGCCCTGTACATCAAGGACAACACGCACACCAGCGCCGCGGGTGCCGACCTCAGCTCCCAGGCTTTCGTCCAGGCCATCTACCAAAAGATGAACGGCACGACCAGCCTTGCCGCCCACGTCAAGACGCCCATCAAGACCGTCTACTAGTTGGAATTTCGAGTCTCATATGCGAGGATAAGGGAAGGTTCCGGTGGCGGAACCTGGGATGCGGGGAGGTTGATGTCGTCTTCTTGTCGAGGAGCTTGGCCTCTGATGACTTGATTGCTCGACTTTCACTGTACATATTTCAAACAAAACTAGCCAAGGCTCTGTACATAGACGAAACGACACGTAAATAGTCAACAAGCCTTCATATCTTTCAAATCTTTTGTAAAATGCCATGTCCGCTCGGTACTTTCGGGTTGTTGAAAGGCCTCGAACTCTTGCTTTCTTGCCCACAGGCTGTAACTCTTGCGGCTGATTGCCTAGGTCGATTTCAAAGTGAGACCTTCAACGTAACTGTATTCTATACCCTATATGTCGCTATTGTGATTGGATCATGAATGGAAGGAGCAAGCGGTCTTGACCGTGCCTTCCACACGTGACCACGAGACGGGATGGCTAAGGAATAAAGACCCCCTCAACCCCATTCCTGTCACCAGCACATCAGGCGCCGTCTAGGTCGGGGGTGAGGTCAAACTGTGGCGTGGGTGGTGGAATGGTTCATGGTCAGCAATCAAGTACGCCCACAGCTTACTCGACGACAGGCTCAGCTCATACGAGAGTACCCGAGTTCGAATCCCAGCATGTGCACCAGAGATGTAGTCCCCCAATTCAGCATCGGGGGGGCGAACTCTTTTGATTTTCTTCAAGACCTGATTATATATGTATTCAAGGCATGCCTATAAGTATTGCTCGAACGTGCAATCTTCATTATAGTCAATGGCGATACCAAACTTCGACTACGTCTTGGCGACGCATGTAACAACCTCTATCTCTAGGTATATCTTATTATATTTCTGTCCACGACTTCTTGAGTAATCTCAGTGGCGTAGAGTCTGTTTCATCAACATCGAACCGTACGTTCATTTCCCGGAGGGATGCTTGACCGGTCCAGGCTTATGACTCCATGACCATCAGCTCTCTTTCTCGTCTTCTTCTCCGACTGCCTCCCAAGGCATCATGTACAGAAGCTCTATGACTGGTTCCTGGATGTTTTGTCGCGAAGATGCCCTCGAGGCCGAGGCAGGTATGAAGTGAGCTACGGATGTTCCGATCACCCGTAGACACTAAGGTATCTATCTTGGCAAGGGTTGAGATCACCACGTCAAGGCCAAAAGCTGTTCCGCTCATTCAAAAGTTGCCCAATGTGATGAATTGGGACAACCTATAGTGGCTGTAATGATCGCGGTACCTAACTGGGACCGCTCGCAAATTTGATCCCATGATCAATCTTGGTACCCCCTGTGCTTCGCCTCGCGAAACGGGGCAAACCTGACGTACAAGAACACACGATACATGATCATCGTCGACAGCATCCATACCGCCGTGAAGACTAACCACCAGAAGATGTCGTGTGCATCGAGCCAAATCACCTGGTTGCGAAAAGACCAGGAAAAATCGTAGTTCTCATAGTAGTCCCAGATATCCTCAGGGATAACGTCCCAGTGTGCAGCGTAGGAGAATGATCCCATGACGATGGCAACCGCCGTAATGAATCCCATCACCGTGCTGAGGCAGATAAGAGTCATGATCGAAACGGCTTTGCGGGGAGTGTTCGTTTGCGACTCGTGAAAGATCAAATTCCAGGCACGACTGTCCATGAGAGGCCGCCGGGCGCCGTTTCCGCCGAAGGGATAAGACTCCGCTGTTGGGAAATTGGCGGAAGTGTAGCTTGCCATTGTCTTGTGTTGTGCGTGTTGCAAGTATTTTAGCTTTGATGATGTTCCAATTTTCGGATTGGGCCGTGGTGATGAAGTGTGAGTGAGTAAGTCATCGAGAATGCGATGACACATAAAGAGGAAATTAAGTGAATTAATCGACGTATCTCCGGAAGATGTATCAGCTAGATCAAAGTGGCTACGAACCAACCTTTATGGTCTGACCCTCCGCAAACTGCGCTGTTCTCTTTTTAAGGTTGCGGGAAGCCTCGAACCTTCATCGAGCGTTGCCAGCGCCTTGCAAAACTCAAATGACTTCTACCTGGGATTAGAGAGAACTTATGGTAGCATAGTTATCAGTAGAACACATGTCCATTTTCTAATGACTAAAGACTTCCAATATCCACAGGCTCGTTGGCGAAAAGTCATTAGCAGAAGCCGACTCCCTGCTTTCAAGAAACACGGTCTTGCCGCTAGAGACCTTTCTGCTTTATTATCACGCCTATCACGGAAACTAAATTCCTTGTATGTTCTGAAGAGAATCCAACATTTTTCAGATCTATCAAGGGGCATGAAGATTAGCTCATGGAATTCTTGTTATTGTTCCATTGTCTGGTGCCATACACACCTCTATTTATCTGAGTAGCCAGGGCGGTGTTTCTTATGCCACCGATTCAGTCCTTAGGTTGTTCAAGATTGAAAGTCAAAGCTATTAAGCGTGTATTTGTAAGCGCCGAGTACTTGAAGAGATGAGGTTTAAGTCGGTGGAGACCACGCCATCCGGCTTTAGTCTTCCCGATGTCGCTCAGCTCCACATAGGCGCCGGACAATTACCCGCCTCACCGTTTTTGTGTATCAACTTCCCGGCACAACATCTCGGTTGGGAGGGTTTTGTGTCAACGCTAGCTTTGATTGGTTGGAAAACTTCACTCTGTAGATGTCGAGTTCGTCTTGAGAACAACTTGGCTACAGAAATCTTGCGCCCTTACTTGACATTCGTTCTATTAGCCTAGTTCAAAGGCCGTCTAGAGGTCGTCTGAAGCGGGTACAAGACTTTTTCACAACATCCTTTCCCAGCGCCATCAGGATGCAACTCGCCGAGCGCCAGGAAGCCGACTCGCTTGAGCGTGCGCAACCTACGGAAAGTAAGTTTTTGACTTGCCGTTAATACTCTCGTAGCGAGAAGGTACAATATGCTGATCTTAGAACCTTGACAGCTCTGGACGTAGCACAAGAGTCCCACAAGTACCCTGAGGGCGGCAAAGATGCATGGCTTGTTGTGGCTGGTGCATGGTGCGCCATGATACCATCCATGGGTCTTCTCAATACTCTTGCAGTTCTGCAGGCCTGGGTTTCACAGAATGAACTTCATGGGCTCCCGGAGTCGACAATAGGCTGGGTGTTTAGCACTTACGCCTTCTTCCTCTACTTTTGCGGCGCTCAAGTTGGTATGAGACACATCTCAATCAAAGTAATGACTCAAGCTGATAAATCTACAAGGCCCCATCTTTGACGCTCATGATGTGAGGTTCCTGGTGATACCCGGATGCGTAGGATCTGTGGCGTCTATGATGCTGATGAGTCTCTGCAAAGGTAAGGGCCATCATTTTCCCTCCTAAATGGCCAAAGTCTCAAACATTGCTAAACCTTAAATCTGTGCCAGAGTTCTACCAGTTTTTGCTCACCTTTGGTGTCCTCGGCGGCGTATCAGCTTCGCTTCTTTTCAACCCGAGCATCGCTGCAGTCGGGCACTGGTTCTCGGAACGTCGTGCTCTAGCTACAGGAATAGCCTGCACGGCTGGAGGCGTCGGCGGCGTTGTCTTTCCTCTCATCATTCTCTACATGGCTCCCAGGGTTGGTTTTCCATGGGCCATCAGGACGGTTGGGTTTATCTGTGCTGCCGCGTCTGTTTTGGCATGCACGCTCTTGAAGAAGAGGCTTCCACCAAGCAAGACATCCAGTGGCGCAATCGACCTCAAGGCGCTGAAAGAGACAAAATTCGGTCTCGCAACATTGGCCGTGTTCCTGATCGAGTTCGCAGTCTTCATCCCGTACACTTACATTTGCTTGTACGCTATCCATGAGGGCATCGATCTCCAGAAGTCTCTCCTCCTAAGTGCACTGCTCAACGCTGGAGCGATTCCAGGCCGTGCCCTACCGGGCTACGTCGCAGACCGATTTGGTCCCTTCAATGTCATGTGCGTCACTGCCTTGGTGTGCTCGGCATTCATCTTCGCGCTCTGGTTGACAGCGCATGGCGGAGAAGCTGCCACGACTGCCTTTGCGGTCATGTTTGGATTCTGGTCCGGAGCTGCCATCAGCTTGACGCCAGTCTGCATTGGACAGGTGTGCAAAATCGAAGACTATGGGAAAAGGAGTGGCACGGCGTTCTTTGTCTGCAGTTTTGGTGCCCTTGTCGGTGTGCCCTTCGCTGGAGCTATTCTGCAATGGTCAGGTGGCACTTATGACGGCCTTATACTCTTTGCGGGTGGTCTATACATCTTGTCGTTCTGCGCTTTTGCCGTTGCAAGAGGCGTAGCTTGTGGTTGGAATCCCAAGACCTTGTTCTAGACTTGAGTGAGACTCAGTCCAATATCTGGGGCCTTATTTCGTCAACGGAGACGAGACTTGTGGTCACTACGTATTAGATATTTTGATCATATTTGCATCAGCGAGAACAAGAGCCTCGTAACAAGCTTCGCTTAGTGATGATAGAGAATGAGAAGGGATGAGTCCGTATGTTCTGGGCTTTTGAACGGGGTTTTCCTCCAAGACAGCGATGAAATATTTCTTGCTTCAGGACTTGCTGTGCCCAAAATAGACTTAGAGAAACCAAGGAGCTGGAGTTTGTGATTTCTGATGCCGTCAAGTATCAGATTCCACGCATGAGTATACGAGCGATTCAGCAATGAATTGAGTCCATATTGATGTGCGTGAAGATGAGCTGTTTGCTGTCAACTTGAATTCCTCGAAGGCAAGACCGGGTACCACAGGGGAATAGGAGACTGGCAATTTAAATACAAGTGAAGCACTGGCGCACCATGGAGAGCTGTGGGACTATAACAGAGGTTTACAACTTGAATCTGATCGTTGTGTTGTTCTTGATCAGATTATTTGTCTCTGGCCTGCTATCCCACCGGCGCAATTTTGCGAGATCAACGCAACATGACTCAAGTTGAAGATTATTATCGTGCAAATGAAGTCTTTTCATAACGAAGAAACCGTAATGAGCCGTCTCGTCAAATATTAGGGGCTGAGTCCTTCGAAAAAGGCTATTGATGGCGACACTAACATGCTCGAGTCGTGACCTTGAAGCGCTGTTTCGGAAAAAGCGACGTCGGCAACCGAACCGAGCTGACCAAGCAAATTCCATTTACACCAAACGCCTATTAAGAACTCTAAGACCATAGCTTACCTTAAAATACACCACCTGACAGCGGCCGCCTCCACATCTTCCGATAAACTGGGCAATGCTCGCCTTACAACTACCTAGGCTAAGGCCCCCACAACTCACCTTAGAGAGATGCGGCAGTTGACATAGTTTGACGCTCATATTACTTGCGCGCGGCTGTGTGGTCTTTCCCTGCCAATACCTGTCGCGCATTTGAAAGCAGGACTCCATTCCAAGGCCCAGGGCCGGCAGGCAGCCTCCGCAAGGGGTTGTCGCAGACTAATCGGCGAGTCTTTTGATCACTCAACCTCAATTATGAAAATTAAAAGGGTTTTGAAAGTCGGATTTCTTAAGTATAAGTTGCGGCTTCTCTACCCTCTGCCCAGAACCTTTCCATTATCCTCACCGCACTCTCTTACCTCACAAACCAGTCGCTTCTCTACAGTCTCTACATTTTACAGCAACATTGCCACTGCATCTCTGTACTTCTGATACCCAAAAATCGTGATCAATCAACTCGCATCTTTAACAACTCGTCAAAATGCACGCCCGCAACGTTCTCATTCTCGCCCTTGGCGCCGTCGCCTCCGCCCAGAAGTTCGTGGACTTCCCCACCAGCTTGACCTGCAAGACTGGCGCTGGCGGCAAAGAAACTGCCACCATTTCAAAGATCGAAGCCCAGGATGCCGTGAAGGGCCCCAACGGAACCAAACAGGACGACTCTGCCGCCAATGTTGCTTCTGGCAAGTGCGTCAGCCTCTCTGGCATACCCTTCTACGGAGTAAGTAACAGCATGGGATATCTTCCGCATATTTACCTCTGGAACTTTCATGTGCTAATCAGACTCTTCTCACAGGGCGGCGTTTCTGGCAAGGGAAGCATCTACTTCGCTTACGACAAGGCGAAGGATACATACTACTTCTGCTCGGCGCAAGGAGCTGTTGACGAGTCGGGATGGCCCTCTTCTTGCACGGAGAACTGAGCGTGCTAGTTCAAAAATAGAATAACAAGCGAGCATTTGTCATTTCACATCTATTGAGGCCAATTCTGCCTATATTCTGAGTGTGAAATGATAGTTATTTTGAAGTACCTTATGAGCACATTCTTTACTGATGCAAACTTTGCCTGGAATGCAAAGAACCATGTTGCTTAACGACTCGGAGTGAGCGGTGCAATTTGGGAGAACGAAAAATCTTCGTCAATAAAATGCGAGTGAAACTCATAGCCAGACCGGCCAACTTCAATGGCGCTAGGTGGGGTCAATTGACGTCGCCTCGAATCAGCGCCGGCCTCCGATGAGGTCCGAATTTTAAGAGGCCCGAGACGGCGACGATTCGGGAGCGGACCGTTGGTAATCGAGCTTCTCACTTATCAATCAGGGATTGAATGACTAAGGAGCGAAGCTTAGACGATGGAAGTTTCTTCACATCGCACCGTTCCTGAGGACGAGTACAAAAAGAGGTGTTTCCTCCTTGACTGATTTGTCTTCTGAAGTTCTGTTGCCGATTAGCGACAGACAAGAACCCAACAAACGCCTCTGGCCTGCATCTCAACTTACACCGAAGTTCTACGACAACTTTTTATTCAAACCTACCAAGACAATTCAGAACAACATGTCACGCGCGATTCTCATCACTGGCGCCACAGGCAAACAAGGCGGTGCCGTTATCAGTGCTCTTCTAGCCAGACAGCCATCGGACTTTCTGCTTCTTGCAGTAACGAGAAATGCGCAGTCGACATCTGCCAAACGACTTGCAGCAAAGTCCTCGAACATCAAACTCGTTGAGGGAGACCTTGATGCAACCCCTGCGTTATTTGCTTCCGCAAAGGCCGTTGCCGGAACCGTTCCTCTATGGGGCGTGTATTCTGTTCAGGCAATGGGCGACCAGAAGTCAGACAGCGAGACAAGGCAAGGCAAGGCATTGGTGGATGAATCCATTAAGGCAGGGGTGCGGCACTTTGTCTACAGCAGCGTCGAGCGAGGCGGTGACGAACGGTCTTGGAGCAACCCTACGCCAGTACCACATTTCATCACGAAGCATCAAATCGAACACCACCTCCGCGACAGCGCCGCCAATAGCAAAACCGACATGGGCTGGACGATCCTGCGTCCCGTCATCTTCATGGACAACCTCATGCCAGGCTTCTTCGGCAAGGTTTTCTTCACCATGCTCCGCGACACCATGAAGGAGAAGCCTCTGTAGTGGATCGCGACCAAGGACATTGGCTTCTTCGCGGCTGAGGCATTTCATGACCCGGCTACCTGGAACAAGAAGTCGGTCGGTTTGGCTGGCGATGAGCTTACCTTCTCGCAAATGAACCAGACTTTCGAGAAGGCGACTGGCGCACCCGTAGGGACTACATTTGGATTGCTCGGCAAAGCTTTGAAGCATGGGATCTCTGAGATTGGTATCATGGTCAACTGGTTCAAGGATGAAGGCTACAAGGCGAATTTGTCACAGGTCAAGAAAGTCCATCCAGACATTCTGACTATGGGAGTTTGGTTGAAGGAGAGTGCATTTGTGAAGAAGTGAAATTATTCAGGCTAAGGATTCAGGAGGGAATTCTGTTGCATGACTACTGTAGTGAGAGCACTTAGACTAGGTAATGATGGAATTAATGTGGAAGCAAGATACTCTTCTTTGAACGCAACGGCCAATTAGTAGTTGCATGTGATATATCATATCGATAAGTGATTTGCAGAGGGATGCAAAGCCCGGATGCAACACAAAAGACCACTTGTTGCATCAACGGCTAAAGTTGAACACCCACAGAACCACCTTGTCCAGTGACGTCACCTGCACACATCAGGCAACTCAATCGACTCCAGGACGATCTGCCGGTGAGATGGGCCGATTGTAGCTAATGCGAGCTTGCTAGCCCCTGCCTCAACCTTGCATACAAAAGTCCGACCCGCGCGGGAGAACAACTCTGGGGTCTTCAATCATACCTCACCTTTTTCATGGTGTATTTCATAAGTTGGCCGGCGGGAAGAATTACTGATCTCAAAGAGCGGGCAGCAACTCCATGCACACTACTCACAAATTGCAATACCCAGCGAATTGCTGCCGATTTTAAGAAAACTTAAGAGAACTTGTGCTTCTTCAATGCTTGATAACACAACATGGAAAAGATACGGCTGTTCCCCTATACTTAGTTCTCTGGTTCTTCGAAAGCGCATTGCAACATCGCGCCCGCACCGGACTAGCCGTAGAAGGCATCCTGCATTTTTCAGTACAACCTTATAACTTAACCTTCCAACTCCGGACTTACCGACAAACAACAAAACCGGTTTATAGAAGGAATTATGCTGATCAACGGGTTGGTTGACAATTCTCACAAATAAACTTCAGGGGGTTCTCGGGGCACGCTTCTGAATCGAGTCATGTGGTCTGACTTAAATATGGATAGTTGGGCGGTTCACTGCGGGGATAATGTCGCATGTATACAACTCTACAGTAATTATACAGTACTTCGGAAGACTTAAGCCGACTGCACTCAATAAGCCAACTCTATTTCTGAGGACCGATCGTCATCGGCCACGGGCTCTCGTGCGATTGGCCTGCAATAGTGGCGCATAGTGGTTAACGAGAGCGAAAGCAGAATATCGGACATCGTAAGATCATGGGTGTCTACTGCTAGATGCTACCTTCTAGACTCGATGGAAATGCAACATGGTAAGTGAGATATAAGCCGCCTAGTTCCTCCCTGGTCTTCAATGCCTCAGTTCCTGGTAGTTCATCCCATCTTGACTCTCCAGCCCACCAGCGCAGCATTGTCAGCTTAACTTCGTTCACACATTCTTTCTCGGTCAACAAATCTCAACAATCGCTTCCAAAATGAAGTTCGCTGCTGTCTTCCTCCCTCTGATCCCCGCCGCTCTGGCCGGAGAGTGCATTCGCGACGGCGGCTGCCCCGGCTGTGGTCAGGTTGCCAGCGTCAGCTACGTCCAAGACGGAAGCACCTCCACAGCCACGGCTGCCTCCTACGGCTCCGTCACCTTCTCCGACACCACTATCACTGTCAAGAACACGTCCAAGAAATGGCTGTTGTTCTGCAACTACGGCTCGGCCTGCTTCCCCGTTGAGGCCGGCGACACTTGCACCTCCACCCGCCAGTCGTCCGACTCCACCGCTCTCGGACTTCAAGTGTGGTCCCAGTAAAAAGGTAAGTTCTGACCGGCTAAACGTTTCTAGCAGTGAATGCCAACTGACACGGATGCTCAGGGACCTCCAAAACGTGCGTCTGGGATCGGCATGGCAGCATGCCGCTGGAAGCTTGGACAAACGCGCGGGTGTGACAAACTGACAGGAGTCAGGCGGGGTTGATGGTTCCACGTCCCGCAGTCGTCCCAATTCTGTGCACAGCGCCTGAGATGGCGAGTACGAATACGTGGATTGTACACTTTGTGGCACCTCCACAGGCAAATAGCTGCCAATGCACTTGGTCTGCCAAATGACTGAGGGTGTTTAGAAACCAAGAGACATCGAACAGCATTTACATTTTTCACGATGAACCAAATGATACCTTGTCTTGTGCTCTGTGCATTGTGATATTTATAGACCATGGCCATTCTCGACGACAGGGTTGATGCTCGTTAAGCTACCCCTTTCCCCTGTCGCGCGATCGGCACCCCTGAGAGGATCTACTTAAGGAGTGACACTATGACCCGGCCTTGTGTTGAAGCTAGACAAGGACACCGAATATGTAGATCAAGTATGTACATGTAAAGGAATTGAAGAAGAAAATGTGGCCACACTTAGGTGACGTTGTCAAAGAAATTGGGTTCAGCAGAAATCGTGAGCCCTAGTTGTAGGCGTCTGCCCGTTATCGTCGCATCCTCAAGACTGCTTGCTCTCGATTCATGTCTCTCGTTCGTCGTTCTTGTATTCGTCTCATGATAGATCTTCAACATTGAGAAGAACGCTCTGCTTCAAAGGAACAAAGCCTTCTCTTCCGAGTTGCCTCAGCAGCTCAACCGCCCGCGATTGGGGTTGCGAGACAACAGAAAGCTCGCGATAGTGATGGAAGTTATCCACGAAAGTCTTCTCCGGGAAGTGCGTGCGCAAAATGTCGAGGACGGTATCAAAGTTGAAGGGCTCAGCCCAAGCAAAAATTCTCTCGCTGCGAACGTTTGGGAGCACTGCAGCAGCTACGTGAAGTCGAGCGTTGTCTTCCACGTCGACGAAATACTCTGCAGTCTGTATTAGCTTCTCGTATAAGCAAAGAGTGAACATTTTCCTATGCGCTTACGTGGTGGAATGCTTGCTAGACGGTCCACGTGCGTTCCGTTCCATAGACTCTCGATGAAGGATGAGGTTGACGAATGGCCCTGATTGGCCGCATCCAGAGCTCTTCCAAAGTTGGTTCCGGGAAGCACTAACACCCAATCAGCCTCATTGCACAATCCAAGTATCGATAGAACTGCAGGTTGCTTACCGCTGCTGACTATCAAGTCATAACGTCGCCGAATATTTTCGTGATAAAACTTCCACACTGCCATCTCAGCTTCCACCTTACTAGCGGCATATATATGCCACGCTCGCTGAGGGTGGTACGGAGCCTCCCTCCATGCTATTTCCACCGACTCAGTGTTCCAACTGTCGGAATTCACCTCGATTCCCTTCTTCTCGGGTTGAGGGAGAGCTGCAGCAACGGAAGAGCTGGTGAAAATGAACCGTTTCACACTCGCCGCTTTGTTGGCGGCCTTCAGAGCATTGAGAGCCACAGTGATGCTGCGAGGAATGACGCTCTCGGGATTTGGGCTAAAAGACACCGGGGAAGCAGCATGGATCACAGCAGAGACGCCTGTAAGGGTGTTAGCCTCCCTGAGGTATAAGTAAGAGCTTCGACACATTCACCTTCAACCGCAGCGTCAAAGGCGCCCTCCTTCTCCATGTCCGGCAATGAAACCAACATGAAGTCACCCTTTGGTCTCTGTCGCTTCAGCGCTTCTGGTAGCCAGGCGCATTTAGTAACGTCGCGAACCGTTCCGCGGACGTTAAATCCCAGCTGCAGCAGTTCATTGCAGACATGGGAGCCGATGAAACCGTTTGCACCCGTCACCAGGACCATTGAGCCCTTTGGAATGGCGAATTTTCGTTCCGGAGTCATATTGAAGAAACCTGGGCTGGCAATATTGACTGTCCTTTACAAGGATGACGAGTGCAGAACCACCGTGGCTGTTCGCAGAGCCAAGAAATGTGGCTATTTGTCGAGATGGCTGCGTTGCTGCGCGCGGTGACCGCCAGGCATCCCGTCGAGAACGAAAACGAAAGCAAGCGGATGATTTTATAAACTCTACTGACTTTCCAAGACTTTCTGAATACATCTTAGGCTCAAAAAAATCTACCCCGCCTTTTTATTTAGATAGAGGTTTCGTGTCTGTCACTTGTGACATTTTTCTGGTGGTTTGAAACAGCCTTTTTGCCAGAGACCGTTGTCGTTGAACGCCAAGTGGGACTCCTGGAAAAGGCCCAAGATGACAGAATGGGACCCAGAGCCGATGCACCCCCACGACATATCGCGAGAGAAGAGATACTCGCGCCGATAAATTAATGCGACAGCAATTGGTTCTTTGCGGATGAGTCGGCATCAGAGGAATTTTTCCATTCCTCTAAAAGTCTCGTCCGAACATTGAGGATTCGTATGGCTGACAATGGGTTCCAAGGGGTTGTAGTTACGCAAGACTTGACATGGGACTCAAACAATACCAGAAACATGAATTTTCCGACTGTCTACCAGAAACGATACACGCTGCAAAGTGCGGTCTTTCTCAATTGCTGGATCCAAATTTGAGGCCTTTTCTTCTTACGTGTATTTTCTTTCGCACCAAAAGTTAGTTTGGCAACTTGATATGCCATGTTGCGGCGATCCCCGCCCCCACTTCGTGACAATTACATGCAACTTCAGGTACTCTGAAATGGCCATATGTTGCAAGGATCTCAAACCCGCCAGTCTGCTTTTACTCAAGCTACGGATTTTCAAACAGGTTGCCATTGTGTGGCGCTAGTCGAAAGCGAGAATTTGTCATTTCTTACTCGACCTCCTCCAATTGGCCATTCATATCATCTTTTCCGAAGATGTCAATCGTGCGAGTGCACTGTTAAACTGCCTGGAAGAGGAAAAAGCCTTGAGCCATGGAACAAAAGGCTGCTTACTCGCAGCTTCCAAACTCATTCAAGAGTGCCATGATGGTTTTAAGGGGGAAAAACAAGGAGCATTTTCTCAAGCTGATTATCCGTAAGAGGCCGTTGCAGGGAGATCAGGAAGTTCATCTCGAACAGAAGTGAGTGAAAAATCTCTACTGTTTACAATAGCGGGTCCTTGTTGGATGAAAGCGTTCATTAGATTATCTATGGTCTTGACTCTACCGGTCTGAAGATTTCTTGATGCTAACTGCCTTAATTCGTCTCCTCGATTTCTAGTCTCAGCCTGTACATAAGTTTGCCACGCTACCTATAATACTTCGCAAATTATAGACCCACGTGAAGGGAACCCCAGAACGATACTCTACGGGAAAACCATCAATCGCTCGCTCTCCATGGCACTTACACCATCTTGACGACCCTGCCTGCCCTTCAATGGGGATATGATGGCTGACATTCTACAAAACAATGTTTTGCGTCGGTCAAAGGCCAATGTGAGCGCCTTTGCACTTGTGCATCATCTAGCAGACCTGGATGAAGCCAGAAATAACATCGTAGGCGCCAAAATATTCAGAACAAGGGTAAACGCTCGCACCATGATAGGGTGCGATCGTTCCACATGTTGGCCATGGTATAGATACAACGTCTGCAAACGCTGCACTGCTACGACCTCATGATAAGAACGGCATCCGCCGAGAGTGCTAATTATCAAGTCCGGGGCGCTGCCCGGGTACAGGGCAAAACTTCGGTCCCGGACGGGGCTCCTCCTCGCTCTCGTATTCCGTAAAGATTGGTCGAATACAGCGGGAAATATGGGGCCCTTAGCGGCTCGCACTTGATCGGAGACCGGCCGTACGCAAACGTCGAATGACATTCCACCTTCAAATAGGCAGTCCCCCTTACGTAGAGGAACCTAGTCTTGTGCATTACTCGTGTGGTAGAGTAATTATGTAAGCAGTGTAACCTTTTGTTGGACTCTTGCAAATCTGCCACGATGAACATAATGGCGATGGTCTACCGGTTAAGAGCCGCCGCTCTTCTTTGGCGCTGTATCTTTCGACACCCTAAGGGAAAATATGCAATCGCAGAAGGGGAATGATGCTCCCGCCAACCAATTCTCATGCACGCAATGTCGAACACGAAAACTCAGGTGCGATCGCGCCCGCCCGCGCTGTGGACGGTGCGCGAGGCTTGGGGACAGCTGCGACTATCCACAGTCGAGAAGAGCGAATGTCGGCAGGAGGAAACGCGTGCATGAGCTAGAGGCTAAATTAGGTACGTCAGTTCTGTTTTTACCGCGTACAATCACACTGGATTTGTGGCAATGATGTTCCTTGGAACCAGTTAGTCTTACACTCTTATTCTTATAGAGCAACTTGAGCGACTGGCAAAGACCGGAGACAACCCTTCTGCCTCTGAAAATGACGAAAGTCCGCCTCAGCAAATTGCCGGCGAGAGTGCCGATTGCTTGACGAGAGATTTGCCGTATGCGACGACATCTACCAGCGGTACTCCAGATCAAAATCAACCCCCACTAAACGACAAGACGTCTTTCACAGATTTACTCTCCCTCGGGCTTTTTGAGCAATCACCGTCTCAAGACGTCATTGAGTTTCTGTGAGAACTGTCACTAATTGGTTTGAGATGATTGAAGTCATCACGTTTCTAACTCTACCGGCAGAACGAGGACCTACTTTGAAAAATGGCAATACGCTGCGCCAATGCTGCACCCAACTCGGTATACCATGTCATTGTACTTGCCGCCTCATATGCAGCCTCCAATGTGCCTACAATACATCGTCATGGCCTCCGGCGCAGAAGTAACCAAGACTCACAGGCAGCTCGCCATGCCGTTCTACCATCGCGCAAAGGCATATGTAGAAGCCGATGAAATGAGAGTGAGTTGTGCGGCCCTTTTTTACCGAGGTATCGGCGAATTCTAGCTTGACCGTGTTGCTGACACAACCCAAAAAAAGGGTGATGGACAGTTCTTTGCTACTGTAGCACATGCTCAGTGCTGGACACTGATCGCCAACTTTGAAGCCCAGCAACTCTACTTTGCGCAGGCTTCAATGAGTCTTTGTCGAGCCATTAGGATCGGTCAGATGCTCGGCCTTCACCGGGTTGACGGGGAAGGCGTCGATGCGATGTCTTTGCTTCCACCTCCACAGGACTGGTCTGAGGCAGAGGAGAGGCGGAGGACATGGTGGGTAATTTACTGCTCGGATCGGTTGGTTAGCGGTAGCACGGGCTGGCCGGTAATGATCAACCAGCAAGATGTAAGTAAACAGCATCTAACGCCGTACCGTACCTACCTCGTTGGAGAAGACATGATACCTAAGGTCTGACCGTTCGTGCTCACATAACTTTTTGCAGATTACTACACATCTCCCTGCGTCAGAAACGGCATTTGAAACAGGCGTCGAGGAGCAGACGAGCCCTCTGACGAGCATTCTCCTACAAGAAGGCCGCGACTTCTCCGCCTTTGCAGGACGGGTCCTGGCCGCGGCATGCTTCTTCCAAGCCTTTCAGCACTCGACACGGACATTACCAGACGATGGCCTCACCGACCCACGTACAAGTCGGAACTGGAAACGCCACCGTGAGATCGACAACGACCTAGTAGGTCTCCTTGCCGCCCTCCCGGACGACCTGACGCTCCCCCGGAATATCCAAAGCCGCAACGCCACCTTTGTCAACGCCATCATCCACACGTCGGTCATTTTGCTACATAGAGCAGCTCTCGCCAGGATAGAGTCGTCCGGACTGCCGGAGCACATGGCGAAGCAGAGCCAGGCGAGATTGATTTGCGCCGCCGAAGAGATTCTGAACATCATCCGAATGATGCCTGATATCACGCAGACGCTCAAGAATCCCATGATGACCTTCTCCATATACACAGCCTCTCTCGTGTTCCTCGAAAACTGGGATACGTCCGCCCAAGACTATCGACGGCAGGATAACCTTGATTTTATCCTTCGCATCATCATACTAGCCGCCAAGGCGTGGAATAATCCCGTCACGAAGTCTACAGCAGTTCAGCTCGCGGTGGATATGCGACAGCGAGGTCTCGAATCCGAGGTAGTTGACAAGGTAAGCATTCGCAAAGCCCTTTTCCCCCCACCCGGAAATCCCTCACAAGACTGTACTGATTCAGATTTTGTAGGCAACTGAATTGTCACCAGGCCTTGATATGGAACCTATCATGGCAAAGGGGTTGTCTTCATCCTCCAACTTTGTGTACCAGGTCAAGACCGCGGACGATGCAGCACACTAAAATGCCTGATTAGTAGCTGAACCGCAATGGCTCTGCTCTTGAAAACTAGCTTATGAAGGACCATCGTTATGTTGGTAGCCCTCAATATTGTAAAAAGTCGAATGCCTGCAAATTGCATCGCTTCAGGTATCTAAAGGCTACGCCGTCAATTCGCATTTCAAGAATTGGCAGGCAATACATCAAGCAGTAATACAAGACTTTAAACGCTGATTTGCGCGTTGAGGGGCGGCCAAATCACTTGTAAGTTGTTAATGCCAGATTCTGTTTCCACCGTTTCTCGCAGTATGTATCGTGCTTGGCGCTTCGCATAACGGTGTCCCAAGAAGGCTAGCGGACTTTTACCTAATACAAAACGGTCCGTTTACACCACTTCCCTTCCTGTTCATCTGTAAACCAACTCGCTTCAGATCATACACAAATATTCACACACACTCACACACTCACACAAACGTACGCGAAACTAAATCATGGAGGAATGGACAGAGCCCTCCGTCGCCACCCTGCTGGAGAGAATCCTCCCTGAGTACCCGGACTTCAAAATGCTCACACCAGCCACCAAGCGACTTTTCTGGACGCTCAATGGCCCTCTCGAGAGCGCAATTCAGGTCACGCCAAACCACTATTACGAGCCAGGGGACGTGATGGAGCCCTACTTTCGCCCTATATCTGCCGAAGAATCTGCGAGCGGTCTCGAGCCGAGCTGGCACCCTGTATCGCAAGAGTCTCTCATGGCGCCCCCCGTCACAACCGTCACCGTCCGAGTCGAGGCACTCGACTCATGGGAAGAGCTCTGGGTCGAGTTGAATCGCTACTGCGTTGCAGATACCTTGACGGATCCCAACCGGCCCCGGGCTAAAGACGTTCAGCTTGAGGTGACGACGGCGGGTACCTTTCTCACGATACACGAGTACATCTCTGTCGTGCACCCGTGGCTCATGGGCATGCGCGAGAGGATTCTAGACGCCTTGGGAAAGCTCGAACGCCAGGCGGGGAAGGTTTTGTGGACGTCCGAAACCAGTTTGGCCGTCCATTTGTTCGGTGGGCCGATTAGAATCGGGACTGAAGACGGGTGGGCTCAATGGCACAGAAAGCCCAGCCCACCGCGAGCGGTCGAAATGACCTTAGCTGAGGACCAGGAGGCCTCGCGACAAGTCATGGAGAGAATGAAGGCGAGATCTGCGGCTCGAATACGTGAGCTGGAAAGGCTCCGCCAAGAAGGGGGAAATTGAGATAGGCTGGTTCATCTGCTGTGTACATGTGTATTCCATTATTCATCGCACTTTTCCCATTTTCCTAGCCCACGATAACTAAAATATTGAAAGATGAGAGTTCCAGCACAAATGTGTGATACTTGCTCATTTACTGCGATGGCTCACAGCTTGTGTAGAAGGTCTAGAAGGTCCAGCTCCCCACAACTCCAGAGCCTTACTACCGAAGGGCATCAAGCAATCGCTTCAATAACCTGTCTCAACAGTACTTGCAGGCACCGGACGGGCAATATCCGTGGCTACAAGTAAACTCGCAGAGGTCCTCATAATAGGCTAGATTCTCAGTGACATTATCATCTGGACAGCCGTGGCGCCCTGTCAGTTCCGGTATACCGTCAGCCGGCTCTGAGGCGGACCCCGTGCAGACGCATGCACCAGCAGGACAGTGATTGAAGTCACAGCTGTATGAACACAGGCCCTTGAGGTTTTCTGTGATACCTATCGCGTTCGAGCCGCCGGTACAGGCAGGAAAGGGAGCCGCTGTGGAGGTGCTTGTGGTTGTCACAGAGGTCCCGGTGGTCCCCAGAGTCGAGGTTCCTGGGACCGTGGACGTCGAAATGACCGCAGGCGTGGACGAAGCGGATGTGAGTGTGGACACGGGAGATGTCGAAGTCGAGGCACAGATTCCAAACCCGTCCTGGCTGCGTGGACGTCAGTTTTACCACATTGGCCAAAGATGGAATTCGAGACTCACCACCCTCTCTCAATATGACAGTCGGCAGGCTTCTCACCGCAAATACCGTTCACGTTGCAGCACCTCCCCCACTCGGCCGAGCACCTCATTCCCTCCGCGCCACCGCAGGTACCGTCTTTCGTCCACTTTGTGCCGGCCGGCTGTTCGTCCTGCTTCCAAATGTCGCAGTCCCCATCCTGGCAGGCAAAGAGACCACAGAAAGCGTCGCCCGTGCCGCATCGACCGTCTAGGCTGCAGCAACTTCCCCAGCGGCCAGCGCAGACGCGGAAGCCGTAGTCCTGTCCACATGTACCGTCGGTGCTATAGACAGTATCGCCCACGCAGTCGCCCTCGTAGCAGGTTCCAGGGGCGCAGTCCTCGCTAGGGGTCAATATGTCGTGTTAATCTCTTGTAGCTAAGGTAATTCATCACATTGGGGTACGGCCACATACGTCGAATCGCCGCAGGTCCACGTCTCCGCGTTGCAGCACTGCTTGTCGGTTCCGAGACAGGTAGCGTTGTTATGACGAGGGTCGCAGAGACCATCAACAGCCCTAATGGGCTCAATAACTAGGTCAAATAGTTAGTCGATATCATGAAACGCATATTCGCGCCTAGTGGTAGTAGGCACTCACATCCTGAGACGCAGTACTCGGTTTGGGGCTTGATGTTACCGCAGTCCCTATCAAGACTTGGGTTCAAAGTGAAGAAAAGGTCGCTGGGCATATCGTAGCGCTGAGCAAGCTCCGAACATGTGTAATAGCTAACATCTTTTGGGGTATCGGTCCAGTACCGGCAGTTGACCTCGCCCGGGTTAACGATGATAAGGGTACCTTCAGTTGGCCCGGAGTCGTCATCGGCCGCGGCAATGCGCATCTGAGAAAGGGAATCCCAAGTATAAGGCTGGCATGACTTCCCATCTTGAGCTGAGGAGAGATGTGACAAGACAAGAGAGGAGGCCATGGCCAGCGAAAGGACGGCACCGGGGCGCGAGATTGCAGCACCGAAATTGAACGACTCCATGGTATCCTCTCGTGCTTGCAGCTTGTACGAACGGTCTGTCTGCAGAAGGAGGTTCTAACGGAGCCCTATTCGACCTCGGGGGTTCGGATTGATAGTTAAAAGGGCTCGATCGGCCTCAAGGACCTCCATTCTTGCCGCGCTCCCATTGCCCTGCGCCGCTCGGTACCGCCACTGCATATCTTCATTTCCTGTACGAGCGGCACGGCTGAGAGCTCCCCTGCGACAGATATGAAGAGATTTTCCGCAATTCTCTGTTGATTGGCTTGTGTTGTGGGCAATTTGGATCTTGGCGTTGGTGGTGTTGAGTCGAGAGCCTAGAGCCCGCTTTGCTTCTCGACGACGGAGCACCTGAACAGTCCTTTCAACGAATCGGCGGGGCAGGCAACATCGTACCTACCTTTTTAAGACAGTGCCACGGTTCATCATCTTAGTCCAGCATGAACTTGTCATAAGTAGCAGGTGAGTCATGATAAAAGTATGTAACCATGAGGCACAGTACTGATCGGGTGACTACTTCCTTGTGGAGTTACAGTTGAAAACGGTGAAATCGGATGATTCGTGTGGCACAGTTTAGGCAATAGGCTCATTTTGCGCCGTTAAAGAGCGGGACGGACCGCGACTTCCAAGAAGCAATCTAAAATGTACGTAGCTATCCCGAGTCTGCCCGCCAACCAAAGTTGTTGCCAACCAGGCAAGACTGCCCCGGCTTGCGGATAGGACTGTTAGTGGTGGGTCTTGCGCGGAACAGGATGGCCGAGTGAGGTACCTACCTAGGCACGGACAGCAATGGGGCCATAATTTAAGCATGTCCTGTGAAAGTTCCTTCCCGCCCCTCCCCCTTGCATTCGAGGAAATGACAAAGACCCTTGCCCAGTCGCCTCAACCGCCGTTGGTGATTGAAGATTATCCGGACGCACCGCAACATGGGTTGCTCTGCAGAATCCGACATTGGAAGGTGGAGGGGAGGCAAAATGAACAGGGCACAGCAGTATCATTTCTCCCCTCTCCGGACTTACACGATGTGAGGTATTCAGCTACCCTAAACCAAGGCCGAGCTGAGACGCGCATGTGCAAAAGGAGGCTTACTTATATCGGCGAATGTCCTCGATCTCGGCACGGCTGGCCAGGAAGCCAGGACCAGCATCCGTCTCGTTATCGGTATCAGGCTGGACGTCTCGACAGCTCGTGGCTGACAAGGAACGAGCAAGATCAGAAAGCCCGTCATCTAGCAACGCCTAGTGCTTCCACCCGAAGATTGCTACAGTATCAAATACATCCATCGCCATGGTTTTGCGGCATTCCGCCCTCGCTGTGTGCCTCTCGGTTCTGCTCGCTTTAGATCAAAACTCTAGCCAGGCAAATGCACAGTACTTGCAGAATTTGGACCGCACCCGTATCACTAATCCTGCGACCAACATCCAATACGATGGCTACAGATAGTGAGTCTCTCTCCGTCTTCTGTTTCTGTGCCTTCTATTCCGCAGTATACTCATGGTAGACGGCATGCTCACAATTTCTCAGCAAGGCCGTCCCTGACAACCGGGCCGCCTGGCGTAATGTTATCGACCTTGGCCGCACCGAAATCATCTATCTCTATTACAATTGCTACTACATGAACAACATCTGCGACAACGTTGACACCTTCCTGAGCTCCCCCCGCGGCCAGAACCTCCACCCTGGCACGACCATCCCCGCTGACCAGTTCACCTACGACTTTGATACCGGTGAAGAAAGCTGGACTCACCAGTCCGGCCGCAGGGAGAAGTCTTGCCCCAAAAGTTGGGGTAAAGCGCGGAACTGCCCCGAGCCGAGCACGAAGGTTCCCTTCCGCCACGACGGCCCCTGGTGGACCAAGGATGTCGAGGCCGTCGGCAACACAAACATGCTCAAACATGAACGCGACAGTCAGACCAAAAACATCATCAAGAGGTCCGGGATGCGCTATACCTGCGATGAGTTCCCCCCTGCTACCTGGGTCGAGGGTGGCAGCGGCTGGGCTAACAACCAACCTGCCAACACTCGGTGCGCTGGTCATG